TCTCAAAGATTTTTATGATGTGCGATGTTAGTGCTATCGGTCTGTAATTTTTTGTCTCTGCCTTATCACCTCCTTTATGGAGTGGTGCTATCTCTGCTGTTTTTAGTTTGTCAGGGATAACGCCAGTATCTTTGGCTTTGTCTCCAAAGAATGTAAAGGGCAACAGTGTTTTTTACAGTTCTTGATGAATATGGAGTTCCAAGAATCATTGCCTGGTGCAGAGTGCATAAGCATACTGTTTATGGCTTCTTCAAAATCCAGTGAGGATAGGGTGTCGTCTGATATATGATTTGATGTTGGTATCATATCCATGAAAAATTCATTTGGGTTATCAATCTTCAGTGTGTTTAGTGGTTCGCTGAAAACAGTTGTACGGCTTCCTCAGTAACTCGCTCATTTCTTTGTTGTCATCGATGAAAGTTCCATCTCCCTTTTGCAGGGTCTGATACTTGATGTGGTTTTTTTTTATCTTGATTTTGCATAGGAGAAAAAGTATTTTGGATTTCTCTCTATTTCACTGATGGCCTTTTGCTCTCTTTGCCTCTTCTGGGTTTTGTATGATTCTTGTAGCTTTAGTTCAATTGTTTCTATTTCTCTACTTAACCGTCTTAACTGTTCTTAAGATAGGGTGCGACTCTCAAGTTGTTCCGCAATTCGTATATAAGTAAAGAAAGAGATCTAGGGGTGGTTCTAGATAGAAAACTATCACCTGAGGACCACATAAAGAATATTGTGCGAGGAGTCTATGCCACGCTTTCTAACTTCAGAATTGCTTTTAAATACATGGATGGCGATATACTAAAGAAATTGTTCATGATTTTTGTTAGGCCAAAGCTAGAATATGCAGCAGTTGTGTGGTGCCCATATCTTAAGAAGCACATCAACAAACTGGAAAAGGTGCAAAAACATGCTACTAAGTGGCTCCCAGAACTGAAGGGCAAGAGCTACGAGGAGAGGTTAGAGGCATTAAATATGCCAAAACTAGAAGACAGAAGAAAAAGAGGTGATATGATCACTACATACAAAATAGTAACAGGAATTGATAAAATCGATAGGGAAGATTTCCTGAGACCTGGAACTTTAAGAACAAGAAGTCATAGATATAAACTAGCTAAACACAGATGCCGAAAAAATATAAGAAAATTCACTTTCGCAAACAGAGTGGTAGACGGTTGGAACAAGTTAGGGGAGAAGGTGGTGGAGGCCAAGACCGTCAGTAGTTTCAAAGCGTTATATGACAAAGAGTGCTGGGAAGACGGGACACCACGAGCGTAGCTCTCATCCTGTAACTACACTTAGGTAATTACTAAGGAAATTGTTCACGACTTGTTAGGCCAAAGTAGCATATGCAGCGGTCATATGGTGCCCATATCTTAACACTTTGGCGGCCCCAGCCCGCCAGCCCTCAACTAGGCCGAGTGGGCCCCAGCCCGCCAGCCCTCAACTAGGCCGAGTGGGCCCCAGCCCGCCAGCCCTCAACTAGGCCGAGTGGGTCCCAGCGTTTCACGGGAGCGCGTGGTAATTCTGAAAAGTGTATACTCTCCAACTTTGTCACCTCAATTCTCGTCCAGGGTTTTTCAATTTGGTATCATTGTGTTCGCAATAGAATTCTCTACACGCCTATAGACATATAAACTCCAAAAGCCTGGCGTACCATCCACAACAAACAGAAAAAGTGAGTGCGTGTTACCCGGGAGCGCATAAGAGCGATAAAATGTGTACACTCCTTTCACGTTTGTCACCTCAATTGCCGTCCTAGGGCTTTCATTTTGGTATCATTGTGTTCGCAATAGAATTCCCAACAAGAGCATATGCATATGAAGTAAAAAACTGCAGCACGCTCCACCCGCTGATGTGATGAATGTGGCCCGGAAAAAGAGCACTGCGCCATCCCAAGGCGCCTCTCAATACATTAGAGAGCGAGGTAATGAGTACTGTCTCCACTCGATCATCCGGACTATATGGGAAGGACCCCCAGCCGGATTATCACATTTTTCGGATAATGGTACTTTTTCACCTACGAGTCCAAAAGTGACCATTTCCAACTATTTTTATACTACAAACAACATAATTTGAATTGCCTTGCCACATACAATTATTAAATATTCAACTAGAAACCTCAACTTACCTTGTTGGTGTTCGTCTTCTTGATTGATGCCACACATCTTGAAGTTAAAAATTCTTAACAATTTACGTAACCTATACTAACACAACACTAAAATTAACACTTAAAATTACTGTACAGTTCATTAAGCTAAGTTAGTTTTGACTGCCAGCTGCTGAAGCCTCACTGGTTGAGGGCATTTGGGTTGCCTGTGAGGCCTCACTTGTTGAAGGTGCTTGCTTGCACCTCACTTGTTGAAGCGCTTGCATGCCCTCACTTGTTGAAGGCGCTTGGCTTGCCTGTGACGCCTCACTTGTTAAAGGCGCTTGCTTGCGCCTCACTTGTTGAAAGCGCTTGGCTTGCCTGTGGCGCCTCACTTGTTGAAAGCGCTTGGCTTGCCTGTGGCGCCTCACTTGTTGAAAGCGCTTGGCTTGCCTATAATGCCTCACTTGTTGAAGGAGCTTGGCTTGCCTGTGGCGCCTCACTTGTTGAAGGCGCTTGGCTGCCTGTGACGCCTCACTGTTTGAACAACACGTAACTTGTCTTTAATTGCTAGGACAATCTTCTTCCTCTTAACACTTCCAGAACGATTGATGCTGCTACCAGACATATTCTTGGCCAAAAATGTTCAAAATTACTATGAAAATTAAGAAAGTTATTTAAAAAAATATTTCACTAATGGCGCAACACTGTGAGGCCGCACTGGTTGAGGCGTATAACTGTGACTTGTCTTTAATTGTTAGGACAACTTTCTTCCTCTTAACACCTCCAGAACGATTGATGCTGCTACCAGACATAGTCTTGGCCAAAAATGTTCAAAGTTACTATGAAAATAAAAAAGTTATTTAAAAAAATATTTCACTAATGGCGCAGCACTGTGTATAACACGAGGGACGGACGCACATGGGTTGACCAGTGTTGGACAGGTCCACTTGGGGCAGCCATAACGCGTTATGTAGGCCGCCAGGAGGAAAAAAATTCACAATATTTTTTAAGGAAACTTCAGCCTGTGCACAATGCTTTTAGGAAACTTATTTATTTGTTATTACATAATTACTAGTAGTTATTTTATTTGTTTTTGGCTATGATTAATTGTTCTAAAATTAATGGTAATTCCTGTACCCAGGTAGTCCCTCCTGACGCACCCCTCCCACCCTCCCAACACCACCCACCCACCCCACCCCCACCTACACCATGCGCCTCGAGTCTCGGGCAGACGGGATTAATACCGTATGGCCTGCCTCATGTTTTCATATACGGACAAAGGCACGATTATCTGGGGGACTGACCGGATAGTGTAATTTCTGCAGAAAACCTGCTTTAATCCGGTCCCTGTGGCTATTTTGGCCGGATATTGTGATAACTTTATCCATTCACGATTTTGGCCGTATAAGGGCGTTTTTCGGATGTTCGAATCCCGGATAATCGCGGGGTTACAGTATAGTTTTCAACTTTGTTACCTCAATTCTGGTTCGAGGTCTTTCATTTTTGGTATCAAATGTATTCACAATGAAATTCCCTACAAGAGTATATGCATATAATATCCAACCTGCTGTGTGCCCCACCCGAAGCCGCCGCCAATTTGCCACCGAAAACGACGCAATGCTGCGTCGTTACCGGGAATGCTTCAACTAAAAAAATGATGCAATGCTGCGTCATTCCCGTGCAAAAGTGGTAAATTAAGAAGCCCATCAACAAACTGGAAAAGGTGCAAAGACATGCTACTAAGTGGCTCCCAGAACTGAAGGGCAAGAGCTACAAGAAGAGGTTAGAGGCATTAAACATGCCAAAATTAGAAGACAAGAAAAAGAGGAAATATGATCACTACGTACAAAATAGTAACAGGAATTGATAAAATTGATAGGGAAGATTTCCCAAGACTTGGAACTTCAAGAACAGGAAATCATAGATTTAAACTAACTAAACAAAGATACCGAAGAATATAAGAAAATTCACTTTTGCAAACAGAGTGGTAGACGGTTAGAACAAGTTAGGTGAGAAGGTGATGGAGGGCCAAAACCATCAGTAGTTTCAAAGTGTTATATGACAGAGTGCTGGGAAGACGGGACACTTAGGTAATTACGCTTAGGTAATTACACACTCACTCTCACACTCACATCGACCGACCATCCGACCAGACCAGACCAGACCAACTGACTGACTGACTGACTGGACTGACTGGACCGACTGACTGACTGACTGGACCGACTGACTGACAGACTGACTGACAGACTGACTGGACCGACTGACTGACAGACTGACTGGATCGACTGACTGACTGACAGACTGACAGACTGACTGACTGGACCGACTGACCGACTGGACCGACTGACCGGATCGTACAGACCGGACCGACTGACCTGACTGACTGGACTGACTGACCTGACTGACTGGACTGATTAGACTGGACTGACGGATTGGACTGGACTGACCGGACTGATTGACTGACTGATTGGACTGGACTGACTGGACTGATTGACTGACTGATTGGACTGGACTGACTGACTGGACTGACTGGCTGGCTGGCTTGGCTGGCTTGGCTAGCCTGGCTAGCCTGGCTGGCCTGGCTGACTGGACTGACTGACTGATTGACTGATTGGACTGGACTGGTTGGCTGATTGGCCTGACTGGACTGACTGACAGACTGATTGACTGATTGGACTGGACCAGCTGGCTGGATTGACTGACTGGACTGATTGACTGATTGGACTGGCTGGCTCGGCTCGGCTCGGCTTGGCTCGGCTGACCTGTATTGTCTGTCTGCCCCTAGTTTAATTGTCTAGTGGTAAATGTCATTGTTCCTTAGACTATTTTCTATTACTTTAACTCAAGATTTGTTTTTTATTTAGTCAAATATAAATAAATATCTTTTAAATTAGTCTTTGGTTCTCAACAGGTATGGTGTAGCAGCTAGTCAAGAGGATAAATTACGTGCTGCCCTGAAGAAAATAGTGCCAGATTTTATTAAGGATTCAGCTATATGGCTTCCATCTGACACTGCTATGGTAAAACTAATGTGTTTTGCAAATTATGTCTGTCATTAACATACAGCACACTCTTAGCATGCTTAACCCTTTAATAGTGCAAATTGTACTATACCATTTTGGTCTATCTGCCTACACAGCACAGATATATACATTTTAAAGTAGTACCGTGTAAGATTTAAAGGTCCCACGGCTTCACGGAGTTAACATTTGGTTCCGTAGGGCTCTAGTAAACAGATTGCATTTAAAAAAAAAATTGTGGGTAACATTCCTGGGTGTGAAGGCCTCGGTACTGAGTAAGCAACCAAGGCTGGCGCGCACAGCATGAGCTAACAGTACTGCTGTTCAGCTTGTGACCACAGCATTGCTTAAAAATGTCAAAATATATATGTAACTGGTATTATTTAGCGATGATAGTATTACAGTAGAGCCTGATTGTCATAAAGATTGTGTATAATGTTCAGATAGTGAACACCATTCTGTTAAAGATGTTCTCAGCACTAGGCAGGTAGCCACAGCACACTGCCATTGTTTGGTCCATTTAAAAATCTTAAAATGACTTTCCATGTTCCTTTACAAAACAAACATGTAGAAAGTTATTCATTTGCGGGATTTAGTGACCAGAGCTCTGACAATAGCAGCACTGTTGTGAAAATTAGCAATGTGCGTTGTATGTTGGGAGAAGGAATCTTGGCAGTGTCAGCATTCGCCAAGCGCTGACACCGGAAGTTCGTCAACTGATGACGTTTAGTGCTGACGTTACCTCTGACCTCATTCTCCTGCTGGATTTTACCCCATGCGGTTGTGCCGGCTGTGTAATTATTGTGCAGTGGCCAGGTGTTCTAAGAAGTAATAGTTCTTGAGCTGCATGCATTTAGGGTTACCTTCCCTAGGCACCGTAGGTACTGCTCTTGCGTATTCAGGGTTTTCTTCCCGGGACGTTCGGGGTTACACTTCCGTTAAGGTTAGTGTCGTTTGTCATTGACCTCATCTTGGGGTTCAGCGGGAGTCATGGGGCTCTTCATCTGGCCTTTGGTAGGGAACGTTGCTGTTGGCTGGGGCGCACTGTGTTTTGCGCAGCATGTATAATCGCAGTGGCTATTTCTTTTTATTACCTGGTTGTTTGTGGTGTATTTTCAAGGGTTTTAAGTTTTTCTTTTTTTAATTTCCAGGTGGTGGTTTGCCTAGCTTCTGATTAGGTTCACCTAGGTTGTGTTTGGTGGTCTTCCTCTAGGCCCCTCGAGGGTTGCACGCATGGCTTCCTGGGGTCAGTTTGCCCCATATTAGACGGGGTTCGACCGGCTTTAGCTATCAGTGCCTGGGCTCCCCGTCAAGATTACTACTCCTACGGAATCTTGTAAACCCCTTGGGCTTGGTGCGATTGTGGGAGACTATGGATATGTCCTCCGAGTCACCTCTTGCTTTGTGCGAGTTTCAAGGTTGTTCGTTGCCTTTTTCTCAGGGCAGCGTCATCTGTTCTGCCTCCGTCATGCTGTTTGTTGGGTCAGTGACACCTACAACCCAGAGTCGTGTGGGACTTGTTCCCTGCTTGTCCTTTACCTTGCCTGTTCTTCAGAAGACCTTATGGGTCTGGCAACAGCAGCGTTGCAATTTAGGTTGCACCATTTTGGTTTTAGGGACCCGGAATTGGGGGTTGGTTATTTTGACCTTGGTTGTGCCCGCTTACTCAATTCCTTCCCCAGTGGGCGTGGTTTACCCTGCTCCTCCACCCCATTCCCTTCCCCCCTGTTCCAGGCTCCCAAACATCTGAGAGTTTCAGAGTCGGGGTGGGGTTTAGCTCAGGACGAGACTTGGGCCGCTTAGAAGGCTGCCCCATCTGATGTGGGTACAGAGACGGTTGAGCCCGACTGTCCCACCGAGGCTTCTGGGTCCTTCTGGCAGACCCTCCTTTAAAGCTTTTCTCTTTGACTCCGCCTTTTCTTTAGGGGCGGTGGTGTGGGGAAATCTGGCTCTAGATTATATGCTAATAAAATTATATATATAATGCTAATATGCTCGAAGGACCAGAATTCTATTCTAAATGAGAGAACCAGTGACTTATGGATCTCTATGATTAAATGCATTTAAATGAACTGTAAATTCTATAAATTCTAAAGCCCCTTCCCATAACACATTTTGGGTTATTCTATACTGTTAGTCTACGTAATGTGTATAATGTATAATAAATTACATGAATGATGAGAATAAGAAATGCATGTATATAGATTATAAATCCTACAATATTCAATGGTTAGTTAAATGCAATGTTTTTCTACTAGAAACGAGAAAGACAACTTAGCCGTTGATGGGAATTGCAGCGTTCGTCTCGCAAACTTATACTCGTAGACGCAAACTTGTTGCACAGGCTACTCAAGGAAACACGTGATCGTGGCAGACGTCACTGTCTCGCATACGTTTGTACTACAGCTGAAATGCAAATTTTATGTAAATTCCGCTCCAAACCCTAGAATCATTCATTTAATCGTAAATTCTAAATAGATTTGGGGATCAGCAGTACACTTATGTAGGATTATATGTTGCCATGCATCTTGATCTTATCTTGAGGTTATCTTGAGATGATTTCGGGGCTTAGTGTCTCCGTGGCCTGGTCCTCGACCAGGGCCTCCATCCCCCAGGAAGCAGCCCGTGACAGCTGACTAACTCCCAGGTACCTATTTACTGCTAGGTAACAGGGGCATCAGGGTGAAAGAAACTCTGCCCATTGTTTCTCGCTGCCGCCGGCATCATCATGACAGGGAAACAACCTAATTAAATATTAAAGGCCTGTAAAACTTATTAAAGGATACTTATCCCCTGCTGACCATGGTGTCTGTAAATAATTGAAGTTGCAGAATCAATCTGGAGCCTGTAGGTAGCCAGAGGCTCCAAATTTGGACCGGTGTCAATAAGCTAAATTCTGAACACCTATACAATGGCGGTTCTTACGTGTCTCTCTCCTTCCTCCTCGGGTGGCGCATGCACAATAGCTCCCAAAGCTGGGATCCTGAGTATAAATTAAATGGAAGGAAATGGGGTATGACGAATATTTACATCAGAAATAAATGTATTATGCGGCAACAATTCTTTTCTCTTAATGCAGGTCAATTAATTTAGGCGATATTAAGTGAATGAGAAAGATTTAGTGTGGAGGTACGGTTTATCATTTTATTCACTGGTGCAGCTAATCGTGGCTGTATAAATTAATTCCAGTAAACATGATGCATTTACTAACTAGAGATGAATCTATTAATAAATAAATGATTATCCTTAATTAAAAGGCTAGATACTACTTAAATAAATAAGGCTAGATACTACTCGATCTGTTAATATATGAAATGATTCCCTGTGGCTAGCTGACTGATGCAACACTGCCGTGATTCTAGGAAAAATTATATGACGCTCCACTTCCTAATGAAATTAATTCAGTATCACTAAACTACAGATTAGTAGTGTTAGTTAATTATGACACCTAGTACGGGAAATACATCCTATTGTATTAGGGATTAGTAATTAGGTGTTGGAAATTTCCAACAGGTGGGTGTAGAATTGGGTTCGGCCATGAGGCCTGTGTCAGGGGTTCCCGGGCCATGGGAGGAGTCGTCTTGGGACTCTTGGGCCCTGTTTGACCCTGCCTGGGCTTTGGTGCCTTCGGGGCAGGGGTGGTTGTTACATGGTTTGGGGTTATTGTATCCTTCTCCATACGAGTTTGATTTGGGGCGACTCCCTTCCGGGTTTGTTTCCGGGTTCCTTTGGGTTCTTCTGTTTCGTCTTTTTGGAGGTTTTCTTCCTCTCGGATTTCCTCTGCGGAGGTTTTGGAGGCACTTGGTGCTTACCTCCTGCAAGACCCGGAATTCGTCTCTATTCTGGACCCGGCCTCTTTTGAGTTTGGTTCCTCTTCCCCATACTGGGTGCGTTATAAGGTTCCTGAGTCTTCCTGGCTTGCTGACTGCCCTTTCTTTACTCCTGGGGCTTGGTAAAGTTTTTGTCGTACCTGCATGCTTGAGAGGCATGAGATCTCCTCGGTACTACAAGTTTTCTTGAGTTCCTCAATGAGTGTCTTTATGCCCCTGCGCTTTCTCGTGGGTTGGGTTGCGGCAGTTACACGCTCAGGTTACTGTGCCTTTCGACTGTGACCCGAGTCATTGTGCTCACGGTCATTTGGCCTTGGTCTTGCACTTCTTTAGACTTCTGGAGCTGTCTTCGGACCGGCTTTCGAAGGATGTGGAGGCGTTTAGTGTTGGGCCTTCGATTGCAGTGCTAGGCGTCTCGGCAACTTGAGCGTCTGCAGTATTGCTGCATTGTTTGCCCCTGTCCCCCTGGAGGCAGTTTCCATATTTTTTGCCTCCGACCTCGCGGGTCGACCAGCCGTCCTTGCGGTGGTTTGGGAGTACAAAGTCACTCTCGAACTCTCTTGTCTCTTGACAGGAAGAATCTCTTGACTCCACTTGGGCCATGGCTCTTCAGTCTTCGACTTTCTTTTGTCTATTGTTATTTTCGGATGCCATTATGACTCAGTTTTTGTCGGTGGTGTCTTCCAGTTGCCATCTTATTTCTGATTTGTTGGTACTCCAGGGGTGGGGGTTGTTCTCACTCTCCAGGGTGGTCGTGCTGGGGCTCGGCCTTCGGTGGCTTGAGATGGACCATTGGTGCCAGCTTCTAAGCTGGTATTTCGTCTGGGGCCTTCTTTGTCTTGTTGGTGCAGTGGTCACTCTACACGAAGGTTGCCCCCACCCCCCCCCACACTTGGTCCCATGATTCGCGGGCATTTTGGGTCACGTCATTGGGCGGCTCTTCCTCCTCCTCTGGGGAGTTCGGGGCAGGCTTCCTCCATGTCACTCTAAGAGTGGGACCCATGGCCAAGCGCACCCACTTCATGAGTGGGTGCTCTTGTCCGTGGTTGAAACGACCTAGTCCTTCAAGTGGGTTTCTCACTTGTTCCCAGTTCCGAAATGGGACTGTGCAGATCTTTGATTCATTCTGGACTTGTCCCATCTAAACTACTGGAGTTCTTGCCCCTCCTTTCAGATGACAACTCTTTTCTGGGTCCGGCTTCTTCTCAATCTAGGTGCTTGGATGATGTCCCTGGACCTCAAGGATGCTTATTGGCACATTCCTATTCGCCCAGAGTTCAGGGATTGGTTAGGTTTCGTGGTGGGACATCAGGTTTTCCACTTTCGTTGCCTTCCTTTGGGCTGATTCTGAAACCTCACGTTTTTACCTACCTTACCCAGGTCGTGGTGACCCATCTTCGTCTGTTAGGTCTTCGGGTATTGGCCTACCTCGACGACTGGTTGTGTGGGTTCCCAGCTGGTCTACTTGCCTGCTTGCCAGGGATTTGGTTCTTTCCCAGCTCACCAGGTTTGGGTTCCTGGTGAACTGGCAGAAGTCCCATTTGGTTCCGTCCCACGTTCAAACTTGGCTGGACCTGGTCTGAGATTCTCGGACTACATCCGTGTCCCTCCCACCAGCGGCGTTGCTCCGGCTGCAGTCCACCCTTCGGCGTTGCTCTGGCTGCGGTCCACCCTTCGGCTGTTCTTGGGGTAGGGGGGTCCCAGGTCACTCATCGATTGCTCAAGCAGCTGTGCGGGAGTCTGAACTTCACCATGCTGGTTTTCTCGCAGGGTCGGGTTTGGCTTCAGTGGCTGTTCTGGTTCCTCTGGAGCTGTTCCTTCTGCCGCTTTCGTGATCGATGGGTTCGTCCCCCAGGGACCTTGCATCGGTTGCTGCGTCTTTGGCTTCCTCTTTTGTTTTTTTGGGGTTCAGTGCCTTGGCGCCTACCCATTCCCTTGGTCGATGTGTTGACAATTCATGGATTGGTCGTGGTGGGGGTTCCTTTGCCTCTTACCCCCGGTCCATGCTGGCTCGGCTCAAATTTTTTTCGAGGACAAGTGATTCTCTTGGCTCCATGGGGACCGACCCTGCCTTGGTTTCAGGTGCTGCTTGCTCGGTGCATGAACCTGAGTTATTTTTCCGCAGCTCTGCCTTTTTCAGCAGGTCGGGCCAGTGAGATACCTTTCTGGTTTGCCATACTCTTCCGCTCTTCATATTTGGTGTTTTTGACGCAAGTGTATCACCATTTATATGGTGATCAGGTGGCTTCTCTGATGGTGTCCCACCTGCGGTCTTCCATTCAGCGACAGTATGAAGTCTCTTGGCATTCTTTCACCATTTCCTTTCTCTTCATAGGTTGTCGTACATTTCGGATCATGTTGTTTTATCCTTTCTCTTGGCTTTTTCAGGACTGGCCTTCTATGCCGAATTCTGTCACTTCTTATTGTGCAGCACTGGCTGAGCCGCTCCAGCTTGCGTTTGGGGTGAATGTCACTTCTGTTCCATTCCGCAAACTCTCTCATATATTTTTTTTCACTTCCAGCCTGCTCATGCGCCACCTAAGCTGTCCTGGTCTTTGGATTGGGTGCTCTCTCTTTTTTTTCTCCTCGGTTTGTTGTGGCCTCTTCGGTTCAGGATTGCTTCAGGAAGGCTTTGTTTTTGTTGGCTTTGGCCTCTGGGGAGCTTCATGCTCTCCTCCGTCGCAGAGGTTTCTGCTCCTTTGGCCCTGGGGGCATTTTGTTCATTTCCAGCCGTCTCCCTTTCTGGCAAAGAATGAGAGAGCAGGCTTCCGAAGGGGTCCGTGGGTTATTGATGCTTGGTTTGTCAGGCCGGGGGTGCATCATGTTTTATATCCAGTTGTGGCTCTCCGCCATTACCTGTGCACCTTGGGTTCAGTGTCCGGGAACGCGCTTTGGGTTGATCCGGTGTCCCTTGTTCCCTGTTCCAGAGCTTGGGTCTCTCGGGTCATCTTCATGGTTATCAAGTCTAGCCAGCCTGAAGTCTACCCTTGTGCCCATGATGTGCAGAAGTTTGCAGCAAGAGCTGCAAACTTCTGCACATATCTTCTGCACATATCATATTTTGGTAACATATCCAGGGTTGACCTTCGGGCACAGGGGTTTTGGAGGTCAAACAGGGTCCTGGCCACCCGTTATCTTGTTGACGTTCCGGGCTCTCGGCAACCTTGTGTGGCCTTGGGCCGTCGGTTGCAGCCAGTTGTCCTGTCTTCGTCTTGAAGCATTCAGTGCTGCCGTCTCCCGAGTAAGTCCCTTTTTTTTTACTTAACTGTGGGTATATAGCTGCAGGGAGCTGATGGGGGTCCCCCTAGAAAACCAGCATTGAATGTAATGAAATGCCATTTTCTGGATTGAGCCCCAGAGGCTCGTTACCACCTTCCTTCCCTCTGGTTGGCAGTTTATCAATCCACAAACTGCCAGTGTTAGAGCTTGGCCACTTAGTGGGGGAGTGGGGTCACTAACAAGTGGGTGCACTGGTTGTGTGGACATTTGCTTGTTTGTTGTTTTCTCTTGGGTGGATTTCTTAGCCTCTGGCCCAATGTTTTACCAGTTGGGGCTTGTAATAGTTTGCCTACCTTTCTAGGTGATATTCCCGGTCGATGGCAGACATGACTATACTTTCAAACAGTGGAGTGTTCATAAGTCATTGCTTCCTTTGCCTTTGAGGCAACTAAGTTCTGGTTCATGGTTCCCATCTTCTTATCTTGAGGTTATCTTGAGATGATTTCGGGGCTTTTTTTTTTAGTGTTCCCGCGGCCCGGTCCTTGACCAGGCCTCCACCCCCAGGAAGCAGCCCGTGACAGCTGACTAACACCCAGGTACCTATTTAACTGCTAGGTAACAGGGGCATAGGGTGAAAGAAACTCTGCCTAATGTTTCTCGCCGGCGCCTGGGATCGAACCCAGGACCACAAGATCACAAGTCCAGCGTGCTGTCCGCTCGGCCGACCGGCTCCCATAGGCATAAGTAACTGATGCACTAGATTAATATGGCGAATATCAGTCTGTTAGTTGCAGGAAGCCTCCAGGGCTCAACCCAGAAAATGGGGGTTTCATTACATTGATCACTTATTTTTTCCTCGTTTGGGGAAAGGTGGGAGGCAGACTGGGTCAGCCAACTGCTCCACCACCAGTTCTTATTCTGATGTAGCCTGTGACTGGTCATTCATTTGAAAGAGTGATAAGAAGTAAGATCACAAAACATATGGAATCACAGCATTTCCATAACCCTGGACAATACAGTTTCCGAACAGGGCGCTCTTTCCTATCACAATTCCTGGACCACAATGACATGGCCTTAGATGCCATGGAAGACAAACAAAATGCTGATTTAATATACAATGTTTTCCTCAAAGTCTTCGACAAATGTGACCTCGGTGTTATTGTGCACAAAATGCATTCGAATGGAATTATTGGAAAATGGATCTACAATTTTCTAACTAACAGAGCCTAGTGTATAATAGTCAACAAAGTAAAATCTGGATCATTGACCATGAAAAGCTTAGTCCCCCAGCATATTGTGCTTGCTCCAGTACTCTCTCATTCTCATATTGGACATAGACAAGGACACAAACTATAGTTCTGTATCATTCTTCACACATGATACTAGTATTTTTATGAGAATAGATAACATAGAGGGTTTAGGAATTAACCAGCTGTAGTGTGTTTTGTCTTGCTGACTTGCTTGGTGCCATCCCCAGTGGTGGCATATAAGAAATAAATGCCACTGATCCCTGTGCCTCTGTAAGGAGGCTAAGTTACTTCATGACAGGTGGCACCTGTTAGGCAGCACATACACGAGATGTTAGCTACAGGAAGCCACCGTGGCTCACCAAGAAATTGGCATTTCATTACATTCATCACTGGATTTATGATACAAAAAAAAAAGTCCTTGTGGGTCTCCTGGTGCTTGTGGGCACTAACTGTGGCTTACTTGCCCTTTTGGGTAATGAGGCTCTGAACGAATCATCTCGTCTCTACCAAGCTAGATCAGATATTAATTTCTTACATTTTCAAACAGTGTTTGTCTGATTGGTGACTAAAATATGACAGTAAATCTACAGATTGTTACTACCTAGAAATATAAGGGTTCTCAGTTCAAAAAACACAAAGTTTGAAAGATAAATTATTGTTGAAAAAAGATAACTTCTTGTATTTATAGGTTCCCCCATGTGAGCTGGTACGAGAAGGTGTTCGAGTATGTAGAGTGGTGCAAGATCCAGGCCAGTTTGTCGTTGTGTTTCCTGGTGCCTTTACCTCCAGTATATGTAAAGGATATCTGATCTCAGAAAGTGCATTCTTTGCCCGCCCTCAGTATTTTGAGCGAGCAGTTTCTGTAAGTATTTGTTAATATTTGTCCATTTACTAATAAGTGTATAATTCTCAAAATCTTATCTCCTATGACTTGGTAGTTTATTTTGATCATAATGCCTTTCATGAAATAATGAGTGGAAAAATATGACTGAGGATTCAGGGAGCTACTTGAGTGCATCCCAAGAAAGCGTTCTGAAATGGAGAAAATAATACTATGCCTGTGAAGAGACGGTAATTAGACAATACTGTATACACTTACATACGCTGATTATGGGACCAGGACATGAATTTAAAATTAGAAATGTTTATAAAAAATTGGGAGGACTGAATGGATGGTAGGTGAGTGAGACAGAGAGGCTGGTGGGGGAGGGGACAGGAAAGAAAATCTTTTACAAGCACCAGCCCTAGAATCATGGAAGGGAAAAACACGTGAAGGGCAAGTGGGTGGGCAGGTAATAGTGGATGGATGAGTAGCAAGGCAGGCGACACAGTGGGTGGATAGGCGGGCAGCAGTGGTTAGGCAGGTGTCAGTGTGTGCAGACGGGCAGGGTGGTCAGGAGACAGCGGGTGGGCAGATGAGTAGCAGGATGGGTGTTCAGAGTAGGTGGGTAGCAGGCCAGTCAGGAGACAGTGGGTGGGCAGATGAGTAGCAGGATGGATGGTCAGAGTGGGTGGGTGGGTAGCAGTGGGTGGTGGATAGCAGAGACAGTGGCGTGAGTGGACCAGCGTCCGACTAGGACTAAGACAGGAGCTGGTCACCTCCGGTCCCTCCCCAAAACTCCCCATCCCCCACAACAGTCCCTCCCCACTACCTCCATCTCCTCACCTTCACACCGAACCCCGCAGCCATACCCCCTCCCAGCCATATCCCCTCCCAGTCGTATCCCCTCCCAGGTATTAATACGGTAGGCTTCCTTGCTATCAGCTGGTGAATCGGGGAAGTAGACTCCCTGAGCGCCTGACATTAAACTTATTGTTCTCTAACTGACTGGTTGCGACTGCGAATGCCTGATTGGCTTGTAGCCAAGTGGCTGTGTGGCTGTGAATGGCTATAAATGCGTAACTGACCACAAATGCTTATCTGGTTGCTACCACAATTGTGAATGCTTTGGTTATGCCTTTGGTTATGACTGCTTGTGACTTAATCTTGACTGTGAATGCTTGACTGACATGTTGTGACTGACTGACTGACTGATTCTGACTGGCAGTCATATAACAGGCAGTGAAATGTGTGAAAGGAGAATCTGGTACCAGTGATGCAGATATAAAAGTGTTTAAGGCGAGCAGAGAAGTCTTGCCACCTCCCCCTCTTCCTCACCCTTCCCCATACACCAACACCGCTCCTCCCTCCCTCCCTCCTCACCGTCTCCCATATGCCAACAAGTCCTCAGTAAATATTTATTTATAGTTTATATTTATACCTGATTGTTTTATGTATTAAAAATATGAGTAGTATTCTATATAAAGTGTATTTTTAAGTTAATATTTTTGTGTGTAGAACAGATTATTTCAATTTACATTATTTCTTATGGGAAAATTCGTTTGAGTTATGAATTTTCGGGTTATGAGCTGTCTCTGGGAACGGATTAAATTTGTAAACAAAGGTACCACTGTATATGAGAAAGAGATGGAGGTGGAGGGGAGTTAATAAGAAAGTGTATGGAAGCTGCAGTGTGATGATAAATGCCATAGATAAGGTAATCTATGGCAGTAGAATGGATTAACAGTAAAAATAATCAGATGAATTGTATACAATGAAAATATATTGAATTATTGGAGTGCAAGTAAAATATGTTCAAGTGAAGTAAAGGAATTTAGATTGTTTCATTATAGTCAGTATTATAAAATGAATCTCAAGGAAATGACAGTAATGTGATATATCTATGAGAAAATCATTGGAGCAGGACAAGGATCGACCCAGGCATGTATTGGGTTACCCAGGACACTGGTTCGGTCCCCAGCCTGCTCCAATGGAAAAGGTTTCCGGATGGTGAATTCTCAGAGTGGGTGAGAGAAATTAGAGATACAGACTTATGAAAACTTGTTTGAGCGCATGTGAATATACCTTAACACTTTCGCGCTTTATATTAGAGATAACTCGTCACTGGGTTTTCTAACGATTGCGCATAACTGCCTACTTTTCTCGTCAATCGAAAAAATATTTCTATAAATTCCATTTTTTAACCGAAATGGATGGGGATACTTTTGTTTTGTAGAGAATTTATTTGCGAATTTTTTGGTACCAGAATGAATATTATATCACATAAACTTCTATGAGTAAAAAAAAATACACAAAGTATGTTTGGGGGTGTGGCGAGCGTGTGGCAGTGGGTTCCCTTTAGCCGTTGATATATCCAACACGTGGGAAATATTTGTATGTGTTATGTATATGTCTGTGTAGGGAATTTTACTGCGATCACTGTCATACAAATTATAAAATGTTTCAACAAGTATAAACATGACAAACTTCAAACGAACAAAAACAATGCGTTCGTTTCTGCCGCGAACGCATACTGAGCGACGTGGTTCTATATTTGGCGCTTCTCTTACACATGCTTTGTACCAATGTTATACAGTTCATCTTATAGAAAATTTTATTGCGAACACATTGGTATAAAAAAGAAATACGTACATAGAAAAGTAGGGTCAGGAAACGTATAAACTTTCCAAGCATGATTTCCCCCCTGTGTTTTCGCCAGTGCGCTCGCGGCTAACTACTCTCCACTTCACACACTCTTGCGGGTGGGCAATTACCTATATTAAACATTCATATGCATATGTCCGTGTAGAGAATTTTATTGCGATTCCAATGATACCAAAATTAGTGATGTAGGACAACTGTAGGCTTCGCAACCATTAAGAAAGTGGAAACATTTTGTTGCTGTTTGGCGCTCTCGGCGAGTGATCTGCATAGTTTTTTATTTGGTGTTGATACTCCTTATGCTTGGGCGGCATTTTATAGGTATGCTCTTATAGACAATTTCATTGCGAACACAGTGATACCAAATTTAAATACGTGCGCCTTCAATTATTGTCAGGACAGTCAAAAGAGTGTACACTTTTTCGGTCTTACCGCGTAGGCGCGCGAAGTGCCGAAAGCATCTGGGGTATTGTTTTTTTTTTGAGCGCCGAGAGCGCGAAAGTGTTAAGAGGTCATTCAGAACTGAATTGAAAATTTTTCAGTGTCTCCCTTTCCCTATATGGTCTGGCAAGGGCAATTTGAAAAGATTCATTCTGTGTTGGGAATGATGATCTCACTGACTCTGACTGGAGTCTGCTTACTCCTTGATCATACCTGAAGTGGGCTCTGGGAGTTGTTCTACTCCCCTAGTAGAGGCCAGGCTTAATTTGTGATAGCCTGGACCAACTGACTGTTGTTAGGAGCAGCCTGCAGGCCCACATATCCACCATAACCCGGTTGGTCTGGCATTTCTTTGCAGGTAACAGTGTAATTTTTTCCTTGGAGTCCAGTTTGGTTTCAGCCATATTTTTTATGCTTGCTGGAAAGATATTGAACAACTGTGGACGTCTGATATTCATAGTGTTCTCTGATTGAGCTTATGGCACCTGTTCTTCACTGGCTCTATTTTACATTTCCAATCATACCTTTCACTCCAGTTTATTTTTATTTGATTGTGCAAATTTGTGATCTGACCTAGTATTTTCCATTTTCAGTGCATATTATGTGATACATCTCTTGTCTCCTTTCCAGAGTACATTTTGAGAGCTTTGAGATAGTCCCAATAACTTTATTGTTTATGCATGGTGTATATGTTCTTTGTATTCCCTCTATTTCAGCAATCTCGCCTGCTCTGAAAGGGAAAGTGAGTATTGAGCAACTCTCAAGGCAGGACTGCACTAGTGATTTGAATAGTATGAGCATTGTGGTAGGATCCCTGGTTTTGAAGGTTCTCATAATCCGTTCTATCATGTTTCTTATTAAGACCACAATTACTTTGTTACATTACAAAATGTTAGATCATCAGATATTGCTATTTCCAGATCATTTTCATATTGTTTTCCTACTATAAGATCTGATTGTGTCTGGTATTCTTTATTTCATTCAAGTCCTTAATTTTTTCTATACCCAAGTCCCTGAAATTGTCACAGTTAAACCTCATGTTATTTACTGTTGTCCAATTTAAGACTTTATTATTATCAGCTTGTAATTTTTCAGTGTCTTCTACAAAAGTAATTTTCATACTGACTTTTGTGTCATTTGCAAAGGATGACACAAAGTTGTGGTTTGCAGTTTTGTCTATCTGTGTAGGAGAATGAGAAAAAAGCAGTGGGGCAAGGACTGTGACCTAGGGTACAGAGCATGTCACTGTGCTTGGACTTGATATTGGTTGATTGACACATTGATTGACACTCATCACATTCTGTTTGACAGGAAATTGAATATCCATTGCCATACTTTACCTGTAATTCATATTGATCTCATTTTCTGTGAGGTCCCTGAAGCTATCCAAACTGACATGTGTAATATTAGTTTGGGGTCATCAGTCACGGGAGTTCTTTATGCTTACCGGAAACCACGAGCCAGAAAGTGGTCCACTCAGAGAAGCGCAGGGAGCAATGGCCTTTTGAGCACTCTATATTTATGGTATGTCATGTCTGCCATTGACTGGGGAAGGCACCCAGAAAGATAGGCAAAACAGTGCAATCCCCCAACTGGTGAAAATTGAAACCTACATTCGAACAGAGCCAAAGAACTCTGGTTTTTCAGAGCCAAAGAGCACTGTTTTTTTTCAACATCCCTATCCCAAAAAGCTCTTTCTCTTATTTTTCTTCATGTTTGTGTAACATCACTCACCAACTTTGCATTCTTAACCAAAAATCTAGTCTCCAACTCCAGTACTACTTACTTCTTTGTCAGTTAACATTTTCCTTCTGTGATAAAAATTATACAATACATTGCAGATTGGCAAGGATATTTCTTGAAAAAGTCTTAAGTACAAAATAGAAAATGTAGCAAGAGAATAAGTTATTGTTTAGCCAAAGCTAATTTTTAAATTCACTATTATCATTACGTATATATTTTCGTTTCAGTCCTTCCGAGCACTTCATGACTGTTGTGAGCCGTCAATGTTCTCACTGGATCGTTTAGTACTCTCAGTTGTCAGTGACCCTCGAGCAACACTGGATGGACTCCTGCGGGCTAGAGAACTTGTACTGCAAGTTGTTGAAAAGGAAAAGAGACTCAGAGCTCAACTAGCTGAAATTGGTACGTACTATTAACCATGACAAAACTATTAGTTTTGTCATGGTTAATAGAAAAAAGATAAATTCTTAGAACTTTAGATCTGCTGATATTTGTGTAGGAGTTGTCAGACTAGTAATGAGCTTTCATTACATGTTTATCTAACATTTACAGTGTTCATTAAAAAGAAAAAAGACTTAGGATATAGTTTTCAAACCCCTAAGGAATTTGTACCAAGACTACCAAGATTTAATAAAAGAAATATTGGCATTGACATCAACAATTCCATGACCTACACTTTTGAATCCTTGCCTGTAACTTGGTGGCTGCCTTGCCTTGTAAGTAGACAACCTTGATGTTTGGTCATAAAATATAGCCACACACTGTATACTCTGTAGGCCCTTGGGTAAAAAACCAGCCTTGTACCCAATAGGAGGAATGTAAGTGGCAAAAGGAACAAGTTCATACACACTATGACATCCTGAGAATAGACACCAAATATATTTGTGTGCTTGCAAGTTTCAATGGACCATAGGAAATTGCTACAAGGTCATGGATAAACCATCAGCAAGAGTTCATTTTTTTTTTTTTTTACCTTTGTACAATTACCAAAGTAGATAAGAAGCAATTCACAGGGAAAACCTCCTACCGCTATCACAGGCGGTAATACCCTACCTAAAAAAAAAACGCTATTGCAGGCCCTTCGCATTCTTTGGAGACAAAGCCTAGATACTGGCATTATCCCTGACATATTAAAAACAGCAGAGATAGCACCACTCTATAAAGGAGAAAATAAGGCAGAGGTAAAAAATTAGACCGATAGCACTAACATCGCACATCATAAAAATCTTAGAGTGCTAAGAAGTAAAATCACAAAATTCATGGAATCACAGCATCTCCATAACCCCGGACAACATGGTTTCAGAACAGGGCACTCTTGCCTATCACAGTATCACAGGCCACGAGATTAGTTTTTTAAAAGTTGTTCAATGTCAACCAATATTTTTTTACTAGTTGTATATGAAAAGGGCTGCAATTGTTCCAAGTTTCAGTACTGCAGCTTGAATAGAAAGGAAGATATATTTTTTTTGTTTTGTTTTTCAACTCGTATTACACATTTTCAAGTGAGTTCGAACCTTTCACCTTTTCAGATATATTCATTCGATGACACTTTTCTGACACATTAGCATATAATAAAGGATCTCTTGTTTGGGAGTTTCCAAAACATCTTTAGTTTTCCTAATACAAATAGTCAAAGTTCCCCCCAAAAATTATGCAAATGTGTCATATTTATTGCTATTATAAAATCAATAAATGAACTTAGGGAAACAAAACAACCTCAGATTTTAGAGACATAAACTTTACATATAAGGTGTAAGTTTCACGTAAATTGAATAAAAATGGAAGAGTTTGAAGTCGTTTGTTACTTGAAAAATAAATCATTGAAATATAAAGTCTAAGGTGCTGCCATCTGTGGCTGAGGTTGACATCAACCAATTTTCTCCAAAATTGGCACCCTTACAGATAGGCTTAGGTGTACAAGTTTCATGCAATTCGTCTGATAAAAAAAAAATTGAAAAAATATATCTATTTTTTTAACTTAATTTTTTTTAATAAAACTAATTATAATATTTTTTTAATATATGCTATTGTGATAGCTGAGAGTCAGACATGATTTCAGTTGACACGTGTTTGATAATCATTTTTTACCATTTTGGAAAAATTTTGACACCTACTTCAATATTTTTTTTCTCCCTTTCTATTTATGCTACGATGCTGAGACTTGAACCAGATGAAACCCTTTTCATGTACAACTCATCAAAAAAGTTTGATTGAAATCGAACCAGTTTTCATTTTGGCATTTTTAACTCTCACGGCCCCTAAATGAAAGTACAGTACTGTATATTGCCTAGAATACACACATACATATACTTAGACTACACTTTAATTGCAGCATCATAAAGTCATTTGCAGATATTCTCCATCTCTACAAAGCCTATTCTGTTAATACTGTTTGCCAAATTTTTGGCCTTCTTAAAAGACACACACCCTTAGTTGTGTGTATCTTTTATTTCTTAACTTACCAAAATACTTCAACTTTCTTTAAAAGCATTCTTGTGTGTCATTATTTTATGAGTGCTTAAAGAACTTGAAACAGTTAAATATATTCTATCGTGAGGAATTTCCATTAGGTAACTAATAGGAATTGCAATTTATATAGAGAAAAAACATAAAAGATATAAATGTAGTATAAATCATGTATATTATTTTTGCTTTTATAACTTTTAGGTTTAGAAGCAAGTGAAAGATTATCAACACCAGACTCTCATAGAAAAAAGAAGAGTCGATTTATTGAAGATGAGGAAGAAAACATGTGTGAAATGTGTCGACAGAATCTTTACGTGTCTTTGGTAAGTTGAATGATCCTTCTTTACTGTTATAAATTTTTATATGTAGTACGGTACAGTACTCAGTAAAAATATATACTGTACTTCCTTAACTATTGCACTGAGCATAGCACCTTTACCCTTAAACTGCACATCACAACCAGGGTTGTTTCATCAGTGGTGTCAGAAAAACCGACACCATTTACTAACATTTAATACACTAGGCAGATAATATTGCTGCTGTGATTGTACTAACAAATTAGCCCTAGAAATAGTGCTTTAATAACTCATAGAAAACGAGAGCACAGTGGAAATTTCCCCAAGTAGAAAACAGGGGATATCATTACCACGTCATTATTAAATTCACCACCAAATAATGGGAAACATCCTGAATACATCAGTCTTTAGACTGTAAACATCATAAAAACATTTCCCTTGAATCAACTTAATTATCAGTACCAAAATAGAGTAAATGTGAGCCCTTTAACCCACTGTGCTGCGCCGAACAAGAAAACTCAGTCGGTGGGAAACTGCGTCAACCGAGAAAACACCTTTTGAATATTTCGTACCTATTCAAAATGCGTGTGGGGTAGATTGTGTACGAAATAGACTCTTGGGACCTCCAGTGGTTGTCTTGAGATGATTTCAAGGCTTAGCGTCCCTGCGGCCCAATCCTTGACCAGGCCTCCTTTTTGTTACACCCCCCAGAAAGCAGCTCGTAGCAGCTGCCTAACTCCCAGGTACCTATTTACTGCTAGGTGAACAAGGGCATCAGGGTGAAGGAAACATTTTGCCCATTTGTCTTCGCCTCCACCGGGGATCGAACCTGGAACCTCAGGACCACAAATCTGAAGCGCTGTCCACCCAGCTGTCAGGAGCCCCAGTGAGAGGCAGACATCTCGGAAAAAATTCCCAGAATGTCCTAGGGCTGCTGGCTGTTTTAGTACTGAGTGAACAACCATGAGTTGCGTATGCGCCTCTGGCTCCCAAACACCTCTCGGACGTGGTGTTGAAAGATCGCTCTCTGTTGGTTAAATTCAGACCATGTTGTTTGAAGAACATAAGGGTCATGATATTGATGAAGCTAGGCACAATAAGGACCTAACACAAAGGTTGGATGCAAGTGATTCAGCACCGATGAGGACGATACAGTGAGCGTATTCATTGTAACTCTGAGCGCCACCCTTGCCCACCCATGCCATCTCCAAGTTTTATAGATGATACATAGATAAATCATTTTCTGGGTTCAGTGATAATCCATCTGATACAAGTAGCATAGATGAACAGTATTAGCGACTTCCATGGTGGTGTTTTGCATAGATATTTTCAAGAATAGCTGAATCTCTTCCAGAATGACTGAATCTCTTTCAGAATGCGTGAAATCTTTCAGAATGTGTGATTTTGTTACTCAACCACTAGGACAAAATCACAGAAGCTCTAGAAGAAAAGCAGATGTTGTATACACAGACTTTGCAAAGGCGTTCGACAAATGTGACCATGGGGTGATAGCACACAAAATGAGGTCAATGGGAATAACTGGAAAAGTAGGACGCTGGATACTCAATTTCCTGTCGAACAAAACACAAAGAATAACAGTCAATCAAATAAAATAGAGTCCAAGCGAAGTTAAAAGCTCTGTACCTCAAGGTACAGTCCTTGCACCGCTACTGTTCCTTATTCTCATATCAGATATAGACAAAAATACACGCCACAGCTTCGTGTCATTCTTCGCAGATGACACAAAAATCAGCATGAAAATTACCTCTGCTGAAAACATTGAAAAATTACCAGCAGATGTCAACAAAGTTTTCGATTAGGCAGCAGAAAATAACATGATGTTTAACAGTGATAAATTTCAGGTACTCAGGTACGGCAAAAATGAGGATCTGAAACATAATACAGAGTACAAAACACAATCGACTCTTCCCATAGTAAAAAAACAGCATGTCAAGGATTTGGGAATAATGATGTCCAACGATCTAACATTTAGGGAGCATAACCAAGCAAATATTGCGTCAGCCAGAAAAATGATAGGATGGATTACGAGAACTTTCAAATCCAGGGATCCCATCACAATGGTTGTACTTTTCAAGTCACTTGTGTTGTCCCATAATGAGTACTGCTCAGTACTCGCTTCCCCCTTCAGAGCAGGAGAGATTGCTGAAATAGAGGGAATACAGAGAACTACAGAGAACATATATGGCACGCATTGACGAGATAAAACACCTAAATTATTGGGATCGTCTCAAAGCTCTTCAAATGTACTCTCTAGAAAGGAGACGAGAGAGATACCAATTAATATACACATGGAAATTACTGGAGGGCCAGGTCCTAAATCTACACAGTAAAATAACAACGTACTGGAGTGAACGATATGGAAGAAAATGCAAGATTGAACCAGTGAAGAGCAGAGGTGCCATAGGCACAATCGGAGAACACTGTATAAACATCAGAGGTCCACGGTTGTGCAACGTCCTCCCAGCAACTATAAGAAATATTGCCGGAACAACCGTGGACATGTTCAAGAGAAAACTGGACTGTTTTCTAAGAGAAGATCCGGATCAGCCGGGCTGTGGTGGGTATGTGGGCCTGCGGGCTGCTCCAAGCAACAGTCTGGTGGACCAAACTCACAAGTTGAGCCTGGCCTCGAGCCGGGCTTGGCGAGTAGAAGAACTCCCAGAACCCCATCAAGCAGGTAATGACTGAATCTCTTCCAGTGAGGGACCTTACAAAGAGATCTTTTCAAGATTACTTTACACTTGACAAGCTTGGCTACATACCACCATCTACAGGTACTAAAGCCAAGGGTGTACGTGAGTGCATTTCTGTGGGGAGCCCCGTCGGCTCCGCATAGCTATCCAGGCTGGATGGATATGTATATCTGTCTGGCATCAGTCAATGCATGGAGTTCTGCTTACCGGGGACCACGAGCCGGAACCTGGCCCCCTCTAGAGAGGCACGAGGAGCAATGGCCTATAGAGACCCTCCTTGTGGTTGGGAGCATTCTATGTCTGCCATCGACCTGGACAGACAACCAGAAAGGTAGGCACCCCAAAACAAACTCCCTATTCTAGTAAAATATTGTAACCGAAAGCTGAACATGTGGACAGAACTCCCCAATCGAAAATGAGCAAACTAGCATGACATCATGTTGCCGCGCCGCTGTCTGCGCAACCCCCCCTCCCTGGGAGGGGGAAGGGGGAGCCCCAGACCCATCCGCTGGCGACCCAACCTACAGTTCTTGGCTGATGGGAGTCTGGTGCGGTCGAGCCTCTGGCTCCAGTTTTTCGTTACAGTTCTGTGCCTTGTGGTGTGGGCTGTCCCTTCAGGTGATGAGAGAGCCGGGAGTGATCTTCCAGGGTTCTCGGGCTGCGTGCGCCTAGGGTCTCTTTCCCTAGGTGCCCTGTAAGTACTGCCCTTGGGGCTTGGGGGGCCGCCTTATCACAAGTCACCTCGGGATCTACCTCCGCTGTGTCTTTACTGCTCGGTATTTGGCCACCCATGGGGTCAGCTGGGGATTTTTCTTACCCTTGTTTGTCTCTGAGTAGGGGGTAGTGTTTTGTCACTGGCAGTGGCACAGGGCAACCCCCCCTTCCCCCTCCCGGGGAGGGGGGGTTGCGCAAACAGCGGCGCAGCGACGTGATGACGTCATGCTAGTTTGCTAATTTTCGTTTGGGGAGTTGTGTCCACCTGTTCGGCTTTCGATCGCAATACTTTTACCAGAATAGGGGTTTGTTTAAGGGCGCCTACCTTTCTGGGTGCCTGTCCCGGCCAATGGCAGATGGCAGACATAGAATGCTCCCAACCACAGAGGGGGGGGGGGTCTCTATAGGCCAGTGCTCCTCATGCCTCTCTAGAGGGAACCAGGTTCTGGTTCGTGGTCACCGGTAGGCAGAATTCCATGCATTGGCTGATGCCAGACAGATATACATATCCATCCAGCCTGGATAGCTACGGGGAGCCTCCGGGACTCAACCAGAAAATGGCATTTCATTATATTCAACGCTGTTTTTTTTTTTTTATTTAATCTTTTGTGGACAGAGGAGGTCTGCCTAGCTCCTTATAAGGCTAGCCTAAGTTGTGTTGTTGGTCTTCCTCTGTTGCCCCCAAGGCTTCACAGCTGCTACTGGTAATCTGCCTACTGTTAGTCAGTTTGCCTGCTATCTGACAGGGTTCTACTGACTTAGCTGGCCTCAGTGCCTGGGCTTCCTGTAGGGCTTTTTCACTCTAAGGGGCCCTGGAAAACCCCTGTGGATTCAGTGATACCACGGATACTTTTTCCGAGTCCACTTTTGCCCTGTGCGAAGTTGAAGGTTGTTTGTTACCCCTGCTTCAGGTAGATGATCATTAGTACTGACTCCGTCATGCTGCCTGTTGAGTCGGGAGACACCTACGACCCGGAGTCTTGCAGGTTCCTCGCTTGCAAGTACAGTACTGTTGATCTCGGGGATCAGGCAGTGGCTGCATTGCATGCTCGATTCTCCTTATTGCAACAAGCCAAGGTTGGTTGCCTGTTGAAGGCCCCGGAGCTTCCCTGCTTCGTTTTTTGGGACCAGGATTTGGGGGCATCGGTCGCTTCAACATTGGTTCCGTCCACGCCTCCGCTTCCTTCCCAGGTGGGCGTCCTTTGCTCTGCTCCTTCCCCCCCCCCCCCCCCCCCCCTCCTGCATCCGGCTCCCAAACGTCTGAGGGTTTCAGAGTCTGGGCAGGGCTTAGCTCATGAGGCTTTTGGGGATGCCCCTTCTGATTTGGGCGTCGGTATTGGTTGAGCCCGATTTTCACGCCGAGGCTTCTGAGCCTGTTGACCCAGCAGACTCGCGTCTTGGAAGCTTTTTCCCTGGACCTGGCGTGAAAGAGGGCTCTGCCCTGGGGCCTGTGGCAAGGGGTTCCCGGGGGTCGGGTAGAGTTCGCTTGCAGTACTTGGGCCATTTAATAGCGGGGGCTATTTTCTGCAGGGGACAGGGGTCTTCGTTCCCTCCCTCCGTTGTGAATTTGAGTTAGGTGCGGCTCCTCCTCGGGTTCATTTACGGGTGCCCTTGGGTTCCTCGGATTCATCCTTTTGGAGGTTTCTTTCCTCTCTGATTTCCCCTGGGGAGGTTCGGGAGGCCCTTTATGCATACCTCCTGCGAGACCCAGTTTATGCCTCTGTGATGGATCTGGATTCATTTGAATTTAGTTCTTCTTACCCATATTTGGTGCGTTATGAGGTTCCGGAGTTTTCCTGGCTGGCAGATTGCCCCTTCTTTCTAGGAGCTTGGCATGACTTTTGTCGTACCTGCTCGCTTGAGTGGTGGGAGGTCTTTTCGGTGTTGCAGGTATTCTTGGGGGACTTACTCGAGTTCCTCAATGAGTGGCCATTTGCCTCTGCATTTCCTTGTGATGTGGGTCTGGTGCAGTTGCATGCTTTATGTTCTTTCGGCTGCTTTGGCAGCTGATGGCCTTCAGACTTGCTGTCATTTGGCCTCGGTCTTGCGCTTTTTCGGTCTTCCGGAATTGTCTTCGTATTAGCTTTTGGAAGATATGGGGGAGTTGATTGAGGTGTCTTCGGCTGGGGTTCTGGTTTTGGCTGCTGAGGTGTTGTCTACCTTGCTGAAGATGTTTGTACCGATCCTCCAGGAGGAGGTTTCTATGTTTTTTCACCTCTCGTCTCGCATGTCAGCAGGCCGTACTTGCTCTGTCTTTAGATTTGGCTTGGGCCCTGGCTCTGCAGTCTTCTTTGCTGTTCTACCCTCTGTTGTTCCCAAAGGACACCGTTGCCAAGTTTTTGTGGGCGGCTTCAACCAGTTTCTGTCCTATATCGTACTTGTTGGTACTCGGGGGAGAGGGGGGTGGTCGTTCCAGGACCTCTCGGATGGATCGTGCCAGGGCTCAAGCTTTGCATGTCGGGGTAGGCCTCGGTGCCACTTTGAGTCGGTGTCGTTCCCAGTGCCTTCTTTGTCTGGTCAGCGTGTGTTTACTCTGCATGGACATGGTAGAGCTCTTGAGGTTCGTTTCAGCTCTTTCGTGGGTGGCTACGTTGATGGGGCTATGGGGGGGAGGGAGGCTAGTTCTTTTTGCTCACGTCTGGTTCCACGATTTGTTGGCTTTTTGATTCATTTCTTGTGATCTTCAGTGGTGTTGGGCAGACCTTCCTCTTTTCGGGAGGTCAGGTCTGGTGGGTGCAGGCCTCTTCCCTGTCCATTTGTCGGGTCATCTCGGAGTGGGCTTGCTTGTGTGTGGTCAAAACGACCTTGTCTCTCGGGTTTCCTGCCTGTTTCCAGTTCCGATATATCGAGACTGTGGATCTTTGGTACATTTTGGACTCGTCTTGTCTGAACCCCTTGATTACTTGCCCCTCCTTTCGGATGACTACATTGTCCTGGGTCTGGCTTATTCTTGATCTGGGCACTTGGATGATTTCCCTGGACCTTAAGGATGCAATTTGGCAAGTCCTTATCCATCCGGGGGTCTGGTTCGGTTTTGTGGTGGCACGACAAACTTTTCGCTTCCGTTCTCCCTTTCAGGCTGAATTTGGAACCTATTTTTACGCGTTTGACTTGGGTCGTGGTGGCCCGTCTTCATCTGCTAGGTTTTTGGGTCTTGGCCTACCTCGATGATCTCCCAGTTGGTCTGCATGTCTGCTAGCCAGGATCTGGCTCTTTCCCAGCTTTCAAGGTTGAGGTTCCTGGTGCACTGGTGGCAGTCCCAGCTGGTTCCGTCCCAAGGTTCGAACTTGGTTGGGCCTTGTGTGGTATTCTCGGACTGCGTCCCTTTCTCTCCCACCCGCCACCTTACTCCAGCTGCAGTCCTGCCAATTACTGTAGCTGATTTTGAGGGGGAACCCGGTTCATTTGGCTATTGTGCGGAAGCCTGACCTTTGATCCGTTGGGCAGGGTTTGGCTTTGGATGTGTTCTGGTATCTTCAGGGCAGCCTCTTTCGCCGTTCTCGTGATTGCTGGGTTCAACCCCTGATGTCCTTGTGCCGGTTGCTGTGTCATCAGCTTCCTCTTCAGGGTTTTCGAAGTTAGGTGCCACTGCGTCTTTCCCCTTCCTTGCTCAACGTGTTCATGGATGCCTCGTCTGTCAGTTAGGGCTTTGTGACCAGTGTTCCCTAATCCAGCCAGGGACATTGGCGGCTGTCCATGCGTCGAGCTCATAGTACAGTGCAGGAGTTTGCGTCTGCAGTGGATTCAGCTCCCTCAGGGCTCAGTGATCTGGCTTCATTCAGACTGCTTCCCCATGGTTAGTTGTCGCAACTGGAGGTTTGTGGCCCTCGGAAAGTGAAAGCTTTTGCAAAATCTGTGTATATTACATCTGCATTTTCCTTGTTTTCCATGGCATCTAGGTAATAAATTATTAATAGGCATATCTGCTCATCTTCAAGCTGTAAACACAGCAGTGCTTGTATCAGCTGGTATTAGCTTGTATCAGAACATCAAATGCCAATATCCGGGTGAACCCTGGTTTTTTTTTCCCATTACAGTAATATGAATGAGATTGGGTGGATATAAATAGGAACTGCCTCATATGGTCCAATAGGCCTTCTACAGTTACCTTCATCTTGTGTTCTTCTTATGTTCATCTTCAAATTGAAGGTGTAGCAGGTGGCTGACCTGGTCTGCCTCTCTCCTCCTCTCCCCCCCCCCCCAATATGATAGAGGTAGGTGGGATGAGCAAGCTAGCACTAATTTCATGAGTTTTCGCTCATTTGTTTACATTTTGTAGTAGTTCTTTTAGCAATTTTGAGGTTTCAATATTTATTACAACCACCAGTGGTCTGTTTTATTTTGCTTACTATATGGATGCTTCCACAGTGGTGGCAGACATGATTAAAATTCACTGACAGTTTTATCATAGTGCCACTGCTTTCTGCACCTCATTAGAGGGGGCCAGTTTCTGGCTCGTGGTCCTTGATAGGGCTAACAGAACTCCATGACTCATGATACCTATTACTTTGGCACTAGCATTTGGCATTGTAGCTTCAAGGAGCCACTGAGGCTAGCCCAGAAATTGGTGTTTCATTACATTTAATGCTGGACTTTTTTCAGATAAAAGAAGGCAGAACAATAGGACAAAAGTAAAAACTGTATACAGAAATAAGTTGGAGATATATAAGAAAATACTGCACTCATATTGAGTGTGGTAGTAAGCAAATAGAATGTGTTTAAAGCAGAAATCATGGAAATTATTTGTATTCATCTTTAGATCATCAGGAAGTATTAGCACCAGGCACAGAGAAGCTGGACCCTAGAACTAGATGTTACATCCAAATGAGACATGTAAACCATTCACATATAGTCATCTAAATCTGTACGACCACTATATAACCACATTGTACTCAACACAAAGCACCATTACCACAGGTGATCAGCAAGTTGAGTGCATTGAAAGAAGTTGTCCCTGTAGTCATTAATAGGTAAGCACTGATAAGTAAGCCTACCACATACCACCACCACCCACCTTAACTAGTAGGCAATAATGCATTAAGTGCTAGATGTGATGTAACTATAGTCAGTGATAGGTAAGCACCACCACCACCACATGTTGCTGCATCACCACTATCACATACACTGGTAATAAAACTAATGCCATGTTATGTATATATACTTACTCTTTCATTGAGCTAAAACATTGTACCTGCAGGTGACTAACTCCCAGGAAGAAGCTGTATATTGTCTTGACCATGCTCTCATCTTTCTGAGCAAGAACCCCAGTCACTTAGAATACTGCAAGCTGATGTATACTTATAGTTTGGTAAGTCAAGCAATTTAGTATCTGTTTTTCTTTCTTTCAGTACCATAGATTGACATTGCTGTAGGGAAGATGTGCTGGTGCATTTGAGGCTGTGCTGTTGTCTAACTCTACATCTGCAGTGACTAAGATACCTAGCACCTTAACCCTTGGATGCCTGGGTTAAGAAGGTACTAGGTATCTTGTTGCTTAATAGCTGACAACCCTGTTGTGTGCATGAAAAACATATAACAAATAAAAATTCTGGGGGAAGCCCTGTTGGCTCCCTAAAGTTATTATACACTGATCAGTGTTATACTATTAGCTGCCATCAGTTGCAGAGTTATGTTTGCCTACTGAGGACCACGAGCCACAACCTGTCTCCCCCTCAGAGGTGCAGGGAGTGATGGTCTAATGAACACTTTACATTTAAAGTTAATTATAATTGCCACCACCAGGGCTGTCTTCCCTGGGGTGTTTGGGACATACTTCCTTGAAGGGGCCCTCCTCACTTGAGGTGGTCTTTGCCCTTAAGATAAGCCAGTGGTCTATGACTGTCTTCCCTTGGGATGGGAGTGTTTTTGACTGATGGGGCACAATGAGGTTTTTTCACTAACATATTGGCGTGCCAACGTTTCTCCCTGGTAGTTTGTTTTCCCACGGTTTTGGTCCTGGGAACTTTGGGTTTGTTTCCTTGTTTTTAATTCTCACTTTGCCCTTTTATGTTCTTTTTTGTGCTTAGCCTAGGGTGTGTGTGGTTGAACCACTTTGTTGCCCCCTTTGACCTTTCCATTGGTTTTTGGTTGCTAGGGTTGCTTATGCCATTCAGGGGGTTACGGGTGTAACATTCCAAGTGCCTGGGCTTCTGCAGGGCTCATTCACCCTGCAGACCCCTGGAAAACCCCAACAGGCTCATTTGTACTATGGTACCTTCTTCGAGTCTGCTCTTGCCTTGTGTGAATTAAAGGTTTGTTTGTTGCCTGTGCCACCTGGCGTCATTCATACATTCTGCCTCCACTGTGCTGAATGTTGGGTCGGTGACACCTTTGGCCCTGAGTCATATGGAACTTGTTCTCCCCATGTCCCCCAGCTTTCCCATTCCTCTGTTGATGTTCAGAGGTGTCAGGTGCCAAATGCTTTTTATTGAGGTTTTTCTGTTTTGTAGTGGTCTAGGTTCTGTGCTCGGTTGGATGCTCTAGTTTTGCCTCGCTTGGTGTTATTATCTCGGATTTGGGAGTGTTAGTCAACTCGACCTTGGTTCCGTCCGCACCTACCCTTCTTATCCCAGTGGATAAGGTTCGGCCTACTATTTTCCTCTTCCTTCCTGCTCTGAGGCACCTGAGGGGTTTCGGAATCAGGGCAGAGTTTAGCTTGGAATGTGGCTTGGGGAGTTCCGGGGTTTGCCACTTCCAATGCGGGCATGGAGGCAGTTGAGCTTCTCAATCCCGCCAAAGCTTCTGGGTCCTCCCAACCTATCCTTTCCTTTGAAGCTTTTCCGTTGGGCTCCGCAGTTCTCTCCTGGGCTGTTGGCATGGAGGAGAGCTCAGCCCTGTGGTGCTCTTCTGCAGTTCCCAGGGGCTGAGGGGGGAGTTGGTGTGGAGCTCTTGGGTTTTATTTGACCCTCTGTGGGCCCATGTGTCTTCTGTGAAGGGTTTTTTGTTGCAGGATGATGCGGTTTTCTTTCTCTCCTTTCTTGTATGTTTGAGTTGGGTGCAGCCTTCCCAAGGGTTTGTTTCTGTGTGCCTTTGGGTTCTTCAGGCTCATCCTTCCCAGAGGTTTTTCCTCCCTGGCAGAGGCTCGAGGGGCTCTTAGTGTGTACCTCCTGCACAGTCCTGTTTCAGCTTCAGTTATAGATCCAGCCTCCTTTAAGTTCAGTTCTTTCTCCCCTTTTGGGTGTGTTTGTGGTTTCGGGTTCGTCCTGGCTTCAGGTTGTTCTGTGTGTCCCTTGTCCCTTGGGTTTTGCCGTTCCGCATGCTTGATTGGTGGGAGGTGTCTTCAGTTTTGCTGTTTATGCGGGGTTCTTTTGAGTCCATCTTTGCATTCTCTTCTTAATATGAATAAAGCGGTATGCCCTCCTCGTGTTGGGGGTTTCATGCACCGGTATGCCCCAGTTTCTCCTGTCGGATACTTTGGTTGCAAATGGCCATCATCCTACTCGCACTATATTGACTAAATTGTATTATGGTATATTTACTATACATATTATGGGATATTGACTGTACTGTATTATTTATGAATCTACCATATTCAATGTATAAATTGTAGTATTTGTGTGTTTTAGATCAATTATTTACTGATATTTCAGTCGGAGCTTGATGGTGCAATAAAACAAATGGATGAGCGTATACAACAGAAGAGTGGGAAGAAGATATCACCCAGCAGTAAAAAGGCCAGATCTCGTGAACATCATGATTCCTTTAGCAGTACCAGCAGTTCAAATCTTTGATGGTAAACTTAATAGAATCATTAGAGAGGTTACAAACTCTATAAATTTTTATTTTAATGTAAGATCGCCTCCTACTTTGGAAGCATGAATCGGTTATCTGAAATTTCCAGTGGGTGCATTCTAAGTACCTACAGACATTGGTTGTTGGCAGATGGCTTAAAGATAATCATTGTGTTAATCTTTAAATTATTCTTGGACTGTACCTTCTAGATAATGCTAGGACTTACATGTGTATAGGATTGTGTTTAAACAGTGAATGACAATATTGAGTGTTAGACAATCAGGATTAACATTTAAGGAGACAAAATACATTTTGGAATATTTTTTCCCTCATTGTCTTTAATGTTAGACATTGTTGTATACTACTGAGTCTTATGATTATGAATTTAAATCAGTTGTAGACTGATTTATAACCCCCTTTTCAAAACTAATTTGATACTCATTATTCACTGTTTAGGTATAGTTAGTCCAAAGCCGCAGCTACTTCACTAAAGATGGCAATATTTATATTAACTGCAGATTATCTTTTTATTCATATTAAGCATTAATTACTTAATGATCTCATACTTTACATTTTCTCAAAGATATTATATTGATAGTTTTCCCAGTCTGTTTTATTGTTTTAACTGTATTATAAATATGTACAGTTGTGCTGTGTTGTGTGTAAGGTTTGTGCGAGGAATTTTGGTCTTGGTATTTTGGATTTTGGACTTAAAATTTCAGTAGTTAATACTAAAATTTTTTAAAAGGTAGCAACTCAAATCCTATTTTTAATGTAATAATAGTCATCTAAAAATACATTCTTAGCTGATTTTCCAGTGAATATATTTGTCAATCTCTATCAACATTTTTGTGTGTAATAGTATAAGAATGTGGGAAGATTTTGGTATAAAAAATCTTCAGGAAAGCTGCAAGATTGGTAATGGTGATTTGAAATTGTGATTTAGCTCTAGATGTGGAACTTAACACTTTCACACGGGAACGACGCAGCATTGCGTCATTTTTTTAGTAGACGTAATCGCGGTAACGACGCAGCATTGCGTCATTTTTGGCGGCAAATTGGCGGCGGCTTCGGGAGGGGCGCACAGCGGTTTTGGATATTATATGCATATACTCTTGTAGGGAATTTCATTGCGAATACATTGATACCAAAATGAAATGCCTAGGACCAGAATTGAGGTAACAAAGTTGAAAACAGTATACCCATTTTATTAGCGCTCACTGGGATTATGCTCCGTCACTTTCTCTGTTTGCTGTGGGTGGTACGCCTGGCTTTTGGACTTTATATTTGCATATAATCCTGTAGGGAATTCTATTGCGAACACAATGTTATCAAAATGAAAGCCCTAGGACAGGAATTGACGTGACAAACGTGAAAGGAGTGTACACATTTTATCGCTCTTATTGCGCTCCCGGGTAACACGCACTCACTTTCTCTGTTTGTTGTGGATGGTACGCTGGGCTTTTGGAGTTTATACGTCTTTAGTCGTGTAGAGAATTCTATTGTGAACACAATGATACTAAATTGAAAAACACTGGACGAGAATTGAGGTGACAAAGTTGAAGAGAGTATACACTTTTCAGAATTACCGCGTGCTCCCGTGAAACGCTGGTACCCACTCGGCCTAGTTGAGGGCTGGCGGGCTGGGACCCACTCGGCCTAGTTGAGGGCTGGCGGGCTGGGGCCCACTCGGCCTAGTTGAGGGCTGGCGGGCTGGGGCCCACTCGGCCTAGTTGAGGGCTGGCGGGCTGGGGCCCACTCGGCCTAGTTGAGGGCTGGCGGGCTGGGGCCCACTCAGCCTCGTTGAGGGCTGGCGGGCTGGGGCTGCCAAAGTGTTAAGGTGAAGGCATTTTACTCATCGAAAGTGACTGCAGGTCATAAAAATCTGGAGATCATTGCACATAATTACTGATTAAAAGTCTACTGATTCATACAAAAAACATTTTGGAATAAAGAAAATTATATATATAAAGTATATAAATTATTTGCTATATTTACATTATACAGAATTTGTCAGTTATGTGAAATTTCTTACTATACAATTTACATTCATTTTAATATCTTTTTGATGAAGTTGATTTATTATAATAGAGATGATTTTTTAATAGTTTACAATATATCACTCATTTCTATCTAAATAAAATACAAGTCAAAGACATGGCAAAGATTATGGGAGGCCTTGGGAAATCATTAACTTGAGATATACTAGGAGTAAATACTGTATCCCATTTGTCGTCTTTCTCCTCATGATCAGAATAATCGGTTTTAAGTTCAGCAGTTTACAGTTTATTTCCATTGTCTAATAATATTACATGTCCAGTATTTGTAGCTGCAACTGCTATACACTACACTATTTTCCCTGGTTTGATACAAAATGAAGATGCACTACTTTGTTTATGGACAAAAATATTATTACAGCTAATTTTAAATAGCAGAACTATAATTGGGCTTCATAACATCTTGCTGTTTTCATGTTATTGTTTACTGTACTGTTTGTGAATTTTGAGTGACAGTAGTAGGAAGGGTGAAGATATACAAGCATAAGTGCTCATACATCTCAGGAGCGATAAGGATTTTTTATGTCCTATGAAACGTAGGATGAAAAAAATGTTAAGAAATTATGTCAAGTTTAACATACTTGGCTTATCAGTAGTCACTATCATCAGTTATCAAATCTTTTTACTCAAAATTTAGGTAAAATATATTAACTACATAAACAACTATTGTGAGAAACAGTATTATATACAAGATATTATTTTGTGCTTAATGATAATCTGTTTGAAATACAGTATGTAAAAAATAGTGCAATTCTTTGACTGGGTTTGTTTGTAATTCAAACATTCAACAAATTTGGGTTTTCAACAAGTTTATAATGTCAAGAAGCACAATTTAATATCCCAAATGCTAGATTTAAAACAAGTCTTATAATTAGATATAAATATCAAGCATGTAAATGTCTTTAAGATGCTCTGTAATACTATATTGTGTCAAATGTACATGCACATCATTAGCAATACTGAGTGCACAGAGGAAAATTCCTGAACCATTGTTAGTTGACCTAAGTACTCCTCTTATCTTAATTTTGTAATATGTAAATATCCTATAGGCTAATTTATTTATAGAATTATAGTCATTTCTTTTGAACCCTAAATTATTTTAAATACTGAATTAAAAGCTATGTAATGTAAATCTTATTAGCTTGATCTCGGTGAACTCTCTGTGCTTTCCTTTCACAAAAATAGTTTATGGTCATGGATGAGTTAGGATGTATGGCCCTCTCCCTTCTACCCCATCTGCCCTCTTCCTCATTTCTCTGTATATTTCTTTGCCTCTCTTTCTGTTTTTCTTTGTCTCTGTCACTTCAACACATGGCTTAGGCTTGTGAATTGTGCCATTGCTGACATTTATTCTTGTCATTAAGAAAGAGGTAGAAGATGCCATAGGTAACTGAGGAAAGTATTGACTTCAGAGAAATGTTGATGCTGAACATGAGAGCTGTTAAAAATGTATCATATTACTGTATTATATATCATCATCATCATCATCATCATCATCATCATCATCATCATCATCATCATCATCTTTCTCACTTTCATTGGGTGTGGATGCATCAATTGTGAAGGAATGGGAAAGCAATATAGAAAAAGAAGGTTAAGTATACATAAAAGGACACATTCATTTACCATATCTTTAACACTATTGTACATAATTTTAGCATTACGTAGCATCAGCACCATCGCTCTCCAACAAAATATTCACCATGTTCCTCAACATTTTCATATGTCTTAGATCATACATCATTATGACTATTTCATCATTATAAATGTTAACTATATAATACAGTGTATGCTTGTATGAATGTATATATTACCATTAATTGACGAGTGTGATGGTTCCTGTGTGCCATAGATTTTTCATACCCACTGCATATACGAATCCATGTAAAAAATTAGCCTCCCCTTTTTCTTATCCTAGTATGTTCAACTTATGACCTTCACACAGAAGAAATTCTTTCTTCTGTCATCTGACTCAATTGAATGTTTAGTTTCCATTTGTGCACCCTTGTTCTGTTCTCTTCCCTTTCAAACCAATTGTTTGGCTAGCGTATTCTATTACTGAATATCGTTCTTAATTTGTTGATGTCCCCCTCCAAATTTTTCCAGCTTTGTAAGATGAGTTTCACAGTCCATCCTTAAAGTTCAAAAGAGAGACTCATGTATGTCAAGGGAGATGTGTATAGGAAATTCTACCTGACAACCTGTGTGACTTAGCTGGGATACATGACCCCCACTACACGGAGGCCCCCTCTCTGCTGGACACTGGGCAGAGGCAAGGCTCCTCTTAATGATGTCATTGACTTCGTGTCGTGAGTTCCAACCTCCTAATTTTCCACAGTGCAGGCCATGCAAACCATATTCATCTGCATATGCCTCGCCACAAATACACCTATGAACAGTGGATTGGGTCAGCAAGGCAGAGAGCAACTGCAATACGGAGCCGTGGCAGATCAAGACGTGTGCCTGTCGCAGAAATAGGTACTACCAAAAGAAAGTCCACTGCATGGGGGGGCCTGCAGAGCTGTGAGGCGCATACAATCACTGGGGGTTGTTGCTGCCTCCAGCAAAGCTGTGGCTTCTTTGTCCACAATAGGGCTGTCCCAGCTGGATTGTTTCTTGGCTTACAACATGGTTGGTCTGAGTGCAGTGTCTGCCATGGTCCCACACTTTGTGTTGCATTCCCTGTAGTGGGGGGTCATGTATCCCTGCTGAGTCACCCAGGTCATCTAATGCTGAGGAGGAACACAGGAATGCTGGCACAGTAATTTGGGTGACAGTGTGGACAACCAGGCCACCGAGCCTGACAGGAAGAGTGACTTGCTTTTACTGACAGTCATTGAGGGAAATGTTAACAACTTTTCTACCATGGTCTTCAGTAAGAAGTCATTCTCTTCAAGATTTGGGCTGTTGTAAGATGGGGCGCACCTCAGAAAGTAGGTTAGCCTCGGAAGAGAGAGGCATTTAGTGAAAATATAAAAAAGCATCATGGGCATCGATGTCATCTATCCATTCAAACATCCTCCTGAGGTCTGGGATTTTCTTATTGAGGATCTCCTATATATGGTCGATATATGCAGTGGAACCTCGATTTTCGTAAGTCCCTGTTTTTGTATGTTTCGGTACTCGGACTCAATTTCTTCAAAAAATTTGATGCGGTACTCGTTGTTTGCCTTGGTGTTCATAGTTTGTTGATACATGTATGGGTCCGTCACGGTGAAGCATGCCTCAGTTTACCCGTGTCCTGCTGAGGTGACAACCGCTCTTGAATTCTTTGTGAAGAATTTCATTGTTTTTGGGCCTTTTAGTTTCTGAACATAAAAGTAATTATTAAATATCATGCCATAGGTCCCAAGAAATTCAGTGGTAAAGTTCAACCTAAGAGAACAACTGTGAGGATGACCATAGAGCAAAAAAAAAAGAGATCATTCGTAAACGTGAAAATGGTATACGGGTTGTTGATGTCCGTTTCTCATTAATTAAGAAAACGTGTGCAGTATGGGAAGAAATGTTAAGTTTTGCTGAAAAGTGTCACCCAGATAAAGCTGTAGCAGGCTGTTGTGTTAACCTTTTTAATGACAATGTGATGTCTCACTTCAGACAAGTGCTTTCCCTACAACGTAGGGGAAAAACAAGTGTCGCTAGACAGGTTTTTAGTGAGAAAAACAAGCAGTGAGCCACAACCAGGTCCTAGTGGAATGCCTTCAAAACATAGGAGAGAGAGTACCCCAGAAAAGTCATCATTGCCTGATGTTATATTGGAAGGGGACTCTCCTTCCAAATACTAATACCTCTCCTCCTCCCCCTCCCCACCGTATTCCATACCCCAACAAGAGTCCTCCATGAAGGTAAGGTACCTACCTACCTATGAGTAGTTTTCTGTATAAAATGTATTTTTTAGTTAATATTTTTTGGGGGGGGTGAAACGAATTAATTAAATTTACATTATTTCTTATGGGAAAATTTGTTTCGGTTTTCGTACTGTCTCTGGGAACAGATTAAATACGAAAATAGAGGCACCATTTCAGGGGGTATGGGGGGTCAGGGGATCCTGACAGCTGAGTGGACAGCGCCTCAGATTCGTAGTCCTGAAGTTCCGGGTTCGAGTCCCGGTGGAGGCAGAAACAAATGGGCAGAGTTTCTTTTGCCCTGATGCCCCTGTTACTTAACAGTAAGTAGGTACTTGAGAGTTAGACACCTGCTACGGGCTGCTTCCTGGGGGTATGTAACAAAAAGGAGGCCTAGTCAAGGACTGGGCCATGGGGACGCTAAGCCCCGAAATCATCTCAAGATAACCACTTTATATACTGTGTAATTTTTGTACCCTATATGTAATGCCTTTTACATAACAGTTTAAATAAAATGAATATCAAAGTATCTATAAAACAGAATAGGAGTAGTAGGAGGAGAAATTATTAAAGTCTTCAGTGAGAATTCACAAGGACGAGGAGCCGGTAGCTGAGCGGACAGAACACTGGACGTGTGATCCTGTGGTCCCGGGCGCCAGCGAGAAACAATGGGCAGAGTTTCTTTCACCCTGATGACCCTGTTACCTAGCAGTAAATAGGTACCTGGGAGTTAGTCAGCTGTCATGGGCTGCTTCCTGGGGGTGGAGGCCTGATCGAGGACCGGGCTGCGGGGACAGGGGTGGAGACCTGATCGAGGACCGGGCTGCGGGGACACTAAGCCCCGAAATCATCTCAAGATAACCTCAAGATAGGAATATATATATATATATATATATATATATATATATATATATATATATATATATAGGATATATATTCAAGATAGGAATATATATATATATATATATATATATATATATATATATATATATATATATTCCTATCTTGAGGTTATCTTGAGATGATTTCGGGGCTTAGTGTCCCCGCAGCCCGGTCCTCGATCAGGTCTCCACCCCTGTCCCCGCAGCCCGGTCCTCGATCAGGCCTCCACCCCCAGGAAAATATATATATATATATATATATATATATATATATATATATATATATATATATATATATATATATATATATATATATATATATATATATATATATATATATATATATATATATATATATATATATATAGTGTATGTGTATATATATATATATAGTGTATGTGTATATATATATATATAGTGTATGTGTATATATATATATATATAGTGTATGTGTATATATATATATATATAGTGTATGTGTATATATATATAGTGTATGTGTATATATATATATATAGTGTATGTGTATATATATATATAGTGTATGTGTATATATATATATATAGTGTATGTGTATATATATATATAGTGTATGTGTATATATATATATATAGTGTATGTGTATATACACTATATATATATATATACACATACACTATATATATATATATACACATACACTATATATATATATATATACACATACACTATATATATATATATACACATACACTATATATATATACACATACACTATATATATATACACATACACTATATATATATATATATACACATACACTATATATATATATATACACATACACTATATATATATATATACACATACACTATATATATATATATATATATATATATATATATATATATATATATATATATATATATATATATATATATATAAAGTATATACAGTATATACAGTGGTACCTCGGCTTAAGAGTTTAATCCGTTCCTGGAGACAGCTCGTAATCTGAAGCTAATTTCCCCATAAGAAATAATGGTAAATGAATTAATCCATTCCTGACTACCCAAAAATCTCACTTCAAACTAAATTTTATACCTAATTCATCTAAATAAACCTACAAAACTATGTTCAAGTTATTACGTACCCTTGCTAATGAATGCTGTAGGCGTATGGAAAATGGTGAGGAGGGGGGGAGGAGGAGAGGTGTTACTGTTTGGAAGGGAAGTCCCCTTCCATTATAACATCAGGCAGTAAAGATTTTTCTGGGGTGCACACTCTGGCACGTTTTGCCTGCATACCACTAGGTCCTGGTTGTGACTCACTGCTCGATTTTCTCACAACAAATCTGTCCATGGAAGCTTGTTTTTCCCTTCTTCGCAAGCTGTCTCTGTAGTAAGGCATCACATTGTCATTGAAAAGATTATGGCAACGGCCTACTACAGCTTTCTCTAGGTGAGTCTTTTCAATAAAAGTTTGCATCTCTTCCCACATCTGATGCCACTTCTTAATTTCTGCAGAAGGGACATTCTGTACTGCCTCATCCTCCTCCACCGGAGAAACATCCTCAGCTGTGTCTTCTTGCTGTTCCTTTTGAAGGGCTTGGAGTTCTTCGGTGGTCAGTTCTTCATTGTGTTCTTCCACCAACTCCTCCACATCATCACCATCCAATTTCAAGCCCATTTGCTGGCCCAGAGTAGCAGTTTCCTCAACAATAGGCGCATCATTTACAGGCCCAAACTCCTCAAAATCTAGTTCTGTCACACATTCAGGCCACAATTTTCTCCAGCCAGAGATCAGGGTTCTTTGAGTCACTTCTTGCCAGGCTTTGTCAACGAGTTTTAAAGAACTACAAATGTTAAAATGGTCTTTCCAGAACTCTTTGAGAGTGAGGTTTGTGGCTTCAGTCACTTCAAAACATTTCTGGAAAAGTGTCCTTTCATAAAGTTTCTTAAAATTCGCTTTGATTTTCTGGTCCATAGGCTGAATTAGAGGAGTGGTGTTAGGAGGAAGGAACTTTATTGCGAGAAATTTACTGTGCGTACCGTGTCTGGGGATATGCTTTAGGTTGATCCGGTTCCCCTCATTCCCCGTTTCAGGACTCGGGTCTCCCAGGTCGTCCTCAGAGTTTTTAAGTCTTCCAGCCTGCGATCTATCCTTGCGCCCGTGCCGTTAGGACGTTTGCAGCTTTCACTGCTGTGTTGGTGACGTCCAGGACGCATTTCAGGCGCGAGGATTTGAGGGTCGCACAGGTTCCTGGCCGCCTGTTCTTTATGCGCGTGTCTGCTCCTGTGCATTCTTGTTGCCTTGGGTCGCAGGTTGCAGTCTGTTGTCTCGGATTTGCGTTGCGAAGTTTGTGGCAGCTGCCTCCCTGGTCAGCCCTATCTTTTCCTTCTCTTTGGGTATGAAGCTTCAGGAAGCCGTAGGAGCTCCCCACAGAAAACCAGCGTTGAATGTAATGAAATGCCTTTTTCTGGGTGAGCCCTGGAGGCTCCCTGGCAACCCTCCCTCCCACCGGTTGACGTTTTTTTCGCGTTGGTTGAAGCTTAGCTTCCGAACTGATGCTAGGCAGCCGGCGTGGTGAGGTCCGGGGCTGCCCCTTCCCCCTCTCGGGGCAGGGAGGGCTGCGCGGACGATCAGCGCGGCAGTAAAGTGTGATGTTTGCTTGTTTGCTTGTTTCCTTGAGATTGTAGGGAGTTTCTTCGTCTCTGTTCGGTTTTCTCTTTTAGTTTTTTACCATGTGGGGTTTGTTTTGTTATGCCTACCTTTCTGGGTGCCTAACCCCGGTCGATGGCAGATAAAGAAAACCCCAACCACAAGGGGGTTTTCTAGGGCCATTGCTCCCTGGAACCTCTCTGAAGGGGCCAGGTTCTGGCACTGGTCCCTGGTAGGTCTGAACTCCTTAGCTAATGTCCCGGTCTAATACAACATACATTAGCCCGATAAGCTCAAGGGAGCCTCCGGGGCTCGCCCAGAAAATGGCACTTCATTACATTCAACGTTGGTTTTTTTACAAAGAATTAAAGTGCGGTCACCGCTAGGTGGGAGACACTGGTAAGCTGAAGTGTGCCATGTGCTTGGTCAGCCCATACGTGTATCAACAAACTCAAGCACAGAGGTAAACTTCGAGTACCGAGTCAAATTGTTCATAGAAATTGAGCTCGAGAACCAAAAAATTTGAAAACGGGCATTCAAAATTCGAGGTTCCGCTGTACTAAGATTTGCACTCGTGCATCACAAGTTGATACAAAACTAGTTGCTGTCAAAACAACATTTGCTTCTAAATCATGAAAGCTTTTCAAGAACACTGGGAAAAAAGTTACATATTTGTATAAAATACATTCTAGAGATGTACAGATTTTGCAATGTATGTATAACTTAAATATTAGGATTTAAAGCAATGAAATAGTGTATCATAGATGTTTAATAGTATATGTAACATAAAAGCAGCCAATTGCAAAATACACTGTGTATTTGAAAACAGTTCTACACTGTATTTAATTTATTTACTTAGTTTTTATAGCATGATTTTGAAGACATGAGGATTAAGTAGTAATAGCAGAATGATCTCTACCTAAGGCTATAATCCTCAGTGTCTTTAAAACTGTTATGTTTGTTTTGCTTTGTTCAAGGGAACATGAACTCGCAAGTAGGGTAATCATGTTTACAAATGCTAAAGGTTCATGTGTTAAACCTCGCAGCCATGTAAAGGTGATATGAAAATTGGAATTTGAGCCAATACCCATGGATAAGCTATAGGAAATATTGAATGTGAGAATTTTGAAGCTGATGAAGATGATGATCTGTACCATGGGTTTTATTTCTAGACATCATGTAAGGTTCTGCAGTCTCTGTACCTGTACATTCTGTCTCAGAT